TCAAGTTCAAGGAATATTTCATTTTCCACTGCAATTTCCCTTCAAGAGTAAAGCACACACATACATACACACNTCAAGTTCAAGGAATATTTCATTTTCCACTGCAATTTCCCTTCAAGAGTAAAGCACACACACACACATACACACACACACACATACACACACATACTTTATAAATTAGAGTATATATACACACTATATTGTTTATAAGTATGTTGTGTGTATATATATAAAGTTCATATAAATAAATATATTTTCCTGTTTCCTGTTTCCTATAAATAATTTTCCATTGCAATTATTTCCCGTCAATAGTAAAGTATGTGTATATATGTGCTTTACACATACTATATATTTATATATTGTATCTATATCTACACACATATATATGTATGTGTATTCATGTGTGTGTATGTGTAGATATATATATATATATCTACACACACACACACTCACACATATATATATATACACACTTTACTCTTGAAGGGTAATTAATTAAAACAGAAAATTAAATATTCCCTGAACTTGATTGTATATATGTATGCATGTACATATATTTGTGTATATATGTGTGTGTATGTATATATATGTATATATGTACACACACACACACATATATATAAATATAACTGTAGTTGTTTAGGTTTTTTCCTGACCTAAGCTAAGAAGTCTGGGGAAATGTGTACCATCATTTTTTCTTAAGTAATTTCATTTTTCTTTCTTGATACTTTAATCTTTGTTTTTATCATCTTGAAATTTGATAATGGCCTATCTTGGAGGCTGGAGTTTCTAATTTCTTCATGATGAAATCCTATGAAGTCTTTCCACTTGTGGGGTGTTGTCAGCTCTGATTGACTCTTGGAAATCTTCTCTGCTCACATGTCTCTTCATTATGGAGCAGAATTTTTGTTCTTGTCAATACCCTCCAGAATCCCAGTTAATCTAACGTTTGATCTTCTTGATCTAGCTTCCATTACCTTTATCCTCCATTGCTGTCAATATTGGTTTTGGTTTGGGGAACATCTGGGATTGTTCTCCAATGTCTTGTTTCTTATCTTTTTCATTTTGTTCAACTCTCATCATTTGTTTTTTCTTTTTCCTGCTGCCTTGGATGTTTTTAGTTTTATGTGACTCCATTCTCATTGGTTGTTCCTTTGTGTCTTCCCTTGTTCTTTTTTTACCTCCTTGGTATCTCTTCTCTCACCTCTGGTGCTGATTCCTTTGTTTTTTCTTTCTTCTCTTGGTCTGAGAGCTGAACCTGACACTATGCAGTGACTACAAGGCTCTGAGCCTAACAATCTCACAATCTCTCCATGTCTTAGTTTTCGCATATAAAACATGGTCAATTCTTTTCATGACCTCACTCACTGGGGTGGGTGAGAAAAGTACTTTGCAAACCTCCAAGCACTGTGTAAATGACAGTTAATATTTGAAAATGTAGAACTTCTTAGTTGCATTGGAGTTTTTATTTGACTTTATCTGTCAGATAAACTTTACTATTATCCCTTGTAATTCAATAGACTTTTTTTTTACCGCCTTGAGAGGCAGAAGCCCCTGGATTTAAAACAGCCAGCCCCTCTTCCAGAGGAGAAGGCAAGCACAGAGGGCTGACATCTAGCCTGTATTCTATACCAGCAGCTGCTGCCAGAGGCCACAGGCCCATTAGCTGTTGCAGATGCTGGTGTGGATGCCCAGCCTGTGCACTTCTGACTTGGCTGCTCAGCTGACTGCCTTCTGCTGCCTCCTCATACCCTACTCTAACCCTCCGTGCCCCAGGACAACCGGTGGCAGAAGCTGCCACTCTGGCCCCTTCTCCAGCCCTTTACACTCCAGCCCAGAGCCTTGGGCAAACATTCCACGGGTCATTTAGAGGCTCTGGAGATCTGCTAACTTGGATCAGGGGGACAATATTCCCAGAATTCTGTGTGGCCCCTTTTGTTTCCATGCTCTTAAATTCTATTTGTTTCTCTTCAGGAACAG